TTAAATCTACATGAATTAAATTGAGCACATTTCCACCTCTCATAACCATAAAGAGTGTAGATGATTTAATTTCATTTTTTTGAATTTCCTTAGATTTTTCCCAATGATACACATTCGGTATTCAATTATTCTGTATTTTTTTAAATAAACAAATTGTAGGCTACCATGCTGTATAAAATGCATTATAATTTTATTAATTACATTTTTTTTATAAATTAATTACTGTAATGCAATATATTTTACATTACAGTAATGAATTGTATATATAAATTATATTAATTCTTATTACTTTAATGCAGATATAAAATATATATTGTGCAATACAATAATAAAATGTATAACAAATACTATATATATATTTTTTATTCTTACGACTAATGCAAAATATACACATATATAGCATTTCACATACATATATATATATATAGCATTTCAGTAATAAGGATTAATGTTCTCATTACAATAATGAAAATGAAGTGAAATGTCCTTCATTTTCATAAAAATAAGATCACCAAAAAAAAATAAAAAATCATGGTACTACTATAAAAGCAAAATAAAAATGTTCATTGTCAATTATGATCTTGACAGGATATTCTTGACAGGATTTTAAGATTCACCCAACTATGCCAAACCAATTCAGTAAGAACTCTATGCGAGCAAGACAGCGGTTGGAAACGTTATCTAGCGTACTCCAGTCAAGTGTTGTTTTCTGAGTGTACTAGAAGAGAGACACAAATAAAGATGTGTCCAAAATGGCTCTTTATTAGGACTGTTTAATCTGGATTTAAAAGAGTGACAATTTAACGCAAACACTGTAACCATCTCTCAAGGACTTGCAGTGTGTGCCAATAGATGAAGAGCTCCCACGTCCTGTCTGAGCAGATTTCTGCACACAAAAGTCCGCTGGGCACCGACGCAGTGCGCAAGCAGACGGGGCTCTGTGGATTTTGTTCCTATGAAAATAAAAACTAAATACTGCAAGACTGTAAAACTCAATGGAAGTTCACGAAAAGCAGAAAATAAACATCTGCATTTTCAAATGAACATGACAATTTATTTCTCTATTTGTTAGCCTGCAGTCTTTCAACCAATTAAACTTTCCCCCCCTCTGTAAGATTTTAGGAAGAAAACAACAACAACAAAAAAAGTGTGACATCTCTGCAAGAAAAGTGGGTGGGTCTCACATTTCGAGCCTGCAGTGTAACCTGTTTAGCTGTGGCCAATCACAGCATTCGACAACTCAGGCCCCACACCCCCCATAGACTTAACTAACACTTGCCCTCGCGATCGCCGCCCATGACGGAAGCGGAGCCGCCTCGCGCAGCGCCCTCATCCGGCCGGACTCCGTTGCTCTCATCTGCCCGCTCCGCCCCCGGCGCCGGGCCCTTTATCAGCTGCTCCAACAGGAGCGTGAGCAGACCGGCCTGGTCTTCCTGCGGGATCTCTGCCGGCTGCGGGACATTAGAGGACTGGATTAAGGTGGAGAGCTGACTAAGCAGTTCGAGCTGCTGCGCGGCATCCGGTTCAGGGGTGGAGGGGGCGGCGGGCGTTCTGGAGAGCACTGACGTGGAGGCTTCAGAGGACGAGCTGCGGAGATACTCCGCCATCTGTGGGATGCTTAGATTGTCTGTTTGGCCCTGCAGCAGGTTCAGCAGCACTGCCAGCTCGGTCTGGTTCAACTGCTCCGCTGCGGCTCCCAAACCTGTGCATAGAAACGGTTACATTTGATTGCCATTTATGGAAAACAGGATGTTTCTCACCTTTCCAGTTACATACTGCAGTATTCAAACACTTGGCCTGCACAGTTTTAAAACAGTGAGGAAGCTGGAGGGATATCATCATCATTCCAAAACACTACAACAGGATACTGAACCCTTTTCACATGTACAGGCTTTTCAGAAGCGGAAGTCGTCACAGTTGGGTAAACTTCTATAGTGTTGATTGAAACTACAACAAATATACTTTTGGTTTCCATTTGCCCAAGTAGTAAAAGAAAAAAAAATTCACGACAGGGGCTTTCAAAAGAGTTAAAGAGAGATCGCTAGTGAACAGTTTTCTGTAATTGAATGGCAAGGTAGTTAAACACAAAGTATAGTGTTATAAATACAGGTACATTTAAAAAAGAAAATTCTAACAAAAACTTACCATGAGATTTACCATGCTATTAACTCCGGAAATGTGTAATCACAGTTTTGAAAAAGGATTCATGCACTTAAAGCTTTTTTTTTTTTTTTTGTAAATGGGAAAGCAGCAACAATATTGACCACTACAGTAAAAATGCAACCCATAAGCAATGATTTAGCCAATCATAACAGAGGTCATCTGCATAAACTCAATGGTAAAGTAACAAATAGGGTGGAAATTGATCATGTAAAATCTATTGACTATTCTGGTTCAAGAAATATTGATCGACATGCAGTGCACAACATAAATGAGTACACCCCCCCCCCCCCCCCCCCAAGGCTATTTTTGATTAACAGGTAAATTTATTGAACCAAAACTTTTAAAGACAAGTAATTTCCTGACAATTAAATACTCATACTCAGACTTAATGCTGGCAGTAGTGGAACCACTTGGGAGAGAACTGCCAGGTGACATTTCTTAGCATAAAAGAGAACAATGGTACAAGAGGAATACCAAATTATTGTTTTAAGTGTGAAAATATAGCAGAAGTAGCACCTACATTCAAAAACAATGGACTTGTGATGAGGCTCCTGAAATACTCAGGTCTTCACTTTAAGCTTTCATTTAGTGATGAGTGAATTTTTGCTAGAGAAATAACATGCAAGTGTCTCACAGCCGGCAAAAGCTGTGAAAAGAGTGACACTTTATCTCACAGAGTATGATGCAGCATGCAGAAGTGACATGCATGGTTGTTGTCACCACTAGAATGACCTACTGTAGCCAAAGCAAAATACACTCATTTAGCTTTTTCCAGAGCCCATATTTACAAAACAGAGACTTCTGGGAATCCATACTCTGGTCTCAAGAGACCAAGTCAATCATTTCAGATCTAACAGCATCCAACATGTTCTGGTGTTGCTAGAGGAGGAGTACAGAGAGAAGTGCTTGGTACCCACAGTGACGTTCAGTGGTAGTAAAGCTTTTATATAGGGATGAATGTGTGCTGAAGGTGTGAGGGAGCTGTGCTTTATCAATGCTGACATGAATTCACACACCACTGTGTGATGTAATACAAAAACCTGAAATAGAAGATGCTACCCTCTTCTCATTCCCTGCATTATTGGGCATTTTTTCAGCATGACAATAAATATATTCATTCTCCCAAGGTGAAAATCCTTCAGTGGACATGTATTTCACTCATAAGAAAATTACACTCTTGAGCTGCTGTGAGAGATTCTGTAGAGACGAGCTGAGCAACACTCCCCATTAAAGATCAGAGCATTTAAGGAGGTCCTCCAGGAGTTAAACAGCACAGATGTGAAAATTTGTCATGAACCTGTACACCCAGTGCCAAGAAGGGTCAGAGCAGTATACTTTAAGTTCTGGAGGACATACTAAGTACTAGAATATTATACATTTTCTGAATCAAATCTAGGGTTTACTCATTTCTGCAATCCTTCATTTAAAGAAAATCTGCTAATTTACTTATCTTACAGAAAATACTGGCATATATTTTGTTGTTTTTATACAGTATATGTTTAATGTGTTTCAATTTTGCCATCTTTCCATGAATTATATTAGTGATCATTAAGAAAATACATACATATTTTATATTTATTCAGAGAGGGTGTACTCATTTATGCTGTGCACTGTAAGTGAACATTATGTAAATGTAAAAAAATTAAATAAAAAGATGTAAAAAAATTAATGAAAAGTATAAAATATCGAATTCAAATAAATACGATGTAAAAAGTACAGCCTTGCATTTAAATAATTTAAATTTAAATTAAATGATAAATGCTGATGCTAGACTTACTTTTATAGGGATAACGTGGCAGGACTTAAACTTATGCAGCATTGCTAAAAGAAGGATTTCTAACTCCGTAAGCAGAAAAGTTACATTCATCAGCATTTCATTTTACATCCAGCCAGTTTAAAAAGCACAGATAAGGGCGAGCACCTCTATTAGGTCTAAAGATCCAATCCATTTGTGACCCTGGAGCACAAAACCAGTCTTAAAGGGGTCATATGATGCGATTTCAAGTTTTCCTGCACTGTAAGTGAACATTATGTAAATGTAAAAAAATTAAATAAAAATATGTAAAAAAATTAATGAAAAGTATAAAATATCGAATTCAAATAAATACGATGTAAAAAGTACAGCCTTGCATTTAAATAATTTAAATGATAAATGCTGATGCTAGACTTACTTTTATAGGGATAACGTGGCAGGACTTAAACTTATGCAGCATTGCTAAAAGAAGGATTTCTAACTCCGTAAGCAGAAAAGTTACATTCATCAGCATTTCATTTTACATCCAGCCAGTTTAAAAAGCACAGATAAGGGCGAGCACCTCTATTAGGTCTAAAGATCCAATCCATTTGTGACCCTGGAGCACAAAACCAGTCTTAAAGGGGTCATATGATGCGATTTCAAGTTTTCCTTTCTCTTTGGAGTTTTACAAGCTGTTCGTGAATAGATAAGATCCCTGAAGTTGCAAAGACTAATCTCAAACCCAAAGAGATATTCTTTATCAAAGTTAAGACTGGTTCACGCTAGTGCTGGGTGTATGTCACTTAAACAACGTTCGGAATGCGACACTGTTTGAAAGGGGTTTCTCTTTTGAAAGGCTTTTCACGGTTGCACTGTGGTGAGGGAACTAAGCATATGCTGCATGTGTTATTAAGCGTGAAAGTTCCGAAACTGAAGCTGTAGAACTAACAGAACGCTTTTTCACTTTTTCCCATAGAATATTCATACTGACAAACCTAGCGACTTTTTTTTGGATAAACCTTAACTATGGTTCAGTTGGAAGATTTCGCCAGTGCTGTCCCGCGAACACGAGGTAAGTGTGGTATTTTTTGACAATATTCACTCATCATGACAGTAAAATAGGGCATTCTAAGTCAATATACTGCAGTATTTCCTCTCTGTCAGTAGAAAATATGGTTAAAAAAAAAAAATACCGTCATGTACCGTGGAACCGGTATAATTTAGGAAAATACCGTGATATTTTTGGTCATACCGCCCAGCACTAGTTCACACCCTCCTAAAATGCTTTGTTTAAACACAAAATGATGTCCCCACATGTCTACGTCATGATGTGGGAAGATTTGCATATCGCCGTCCAAATGTTCACGCAAAGAAAGAAGGCGTAACTTTATTGTTGCTGCCACCACCGCCGCCATGTTGTGAAGACGCTAGTCACTATTTATTTTTGACAATATTCACTCATCATGACAGTAAAACAGGGCATTCTAAGTCAATATACTTCAGTATTTCAGTATTTCCTCAGTAGAAAATATGGGTAACACCCGGTATATGCATGAAAAAAAAAATACCGTCATGTACCGTGAAACCGGTATAATTTTGAAAAATACCGTGATATAAATTTTTGG